ACAGACATCGCTAACACGTGTCCACAACTGTCGGCAAAGAGATAATGTCTTCAAAGGGTTTACAAATTATAATCAATAAATTCAATAATCATTCAAAATGTCTAAAAGTCCACAAACTCTTCATATATGACGTTATCATTGAATGTCTGACTTTTAACTGATTTATAACTTATATATTCATCTTTTGATTCAATATTATATGAAATTTATATCATTTCAAATAATAGACAACTTTTTTGCTAAATTTAATTAATTTATAAATATTTGTTAAATAAATGAAAAGTTAGTTTTAGGCTGTAATGAGTCGCGTATTGAGTGCCCTATTGTGGGTGTAGTGCAGGAAAAGCCAACTCTAAGCACATGTTTAGTGAATAAATGTAACGAAATATACGAATGAATGAAATGAATGTTTTGATGGAAATGAAGAGTTAATGTTTTGATCCCAAAAGTGATAAACAATACAATTGTTGGACACAAAGGAAATGCGTTATTACGAGAGTTCGCAGACATTTCATTACAATTGGGATCAAATGAATGTTTTGATGGAAATGAAGAGTTAATGTTTTGATCCCAAAAGTGATAAACAATACAATTGTTGGACACAAAGGAAATGCGTTATTACGAGAGTTCGCAGACATTTCATTACAATTGGGATCAAGTGGTGAAAGCGTTTTGGTGTCGATATCCAAACCCTTTCAGGTGACTATCACTCAATCATATGTTCATTTTAGTGACCATTTCTTGCCATCAGTTCCCATGTGTTGACCGAAGATGTAGTCCATCGACGGGTCGACGAAAGCGGGAAACTATTGACCAAACGATTGATTAGTAAAACCAATTCAGCGCCGAAATGGACGGAAAGATTTCTGTCAACGAAAATGATTTTCGTGATCGAAGAATCGGTTTTAGACCCGAAGGGCCAGACTTTGACCACTTTTACACGTAATATAGGACTCAAACACTTAATGACTGTCGAAGAGAAGGTGACGTATAAGTCCAGCGCCGACCACAACAGCTGGACTGTCGCCGACCGGAAGGCATGGATCGATTCGCATGTGTTCGGCCTCTCGTCGGCCGTCCAGAGGTTCGGTGTCGAGAGATTCAAGAAGAATGTGAACAAAGCCTGTCAGGGATTTAACTTCGTATTGAATGCCTTATACGACACCTCGAGTGCAGAACTCATCACTAGTTTTGATAATCAAATTTCAATTAACCCTTTGCTCAGAGAAAAGCTTAAAGAAAAGGCTTTGAGGGGAGCGACTGAGTTCGCGGCCGCCGCCAAGTCTAAGGCCGTCCCTATAGTTGTGGCCGCAAATGCAGAGCAGTCCTAATAAATCCAATATTTGTTTCTTTTTATTATTATATTATTATTACTATTATTACAAATCTATACAATTCTTTTGTAACAATAATTTAGTCAATATTTTGTCAATAAATGAAAATATGTTTTATTTGAGACTTATTTCTCAATTCAAAGAATATTTCAATCATTCTATTACTTAATCACTAAAAACAACACGAATTTAATTCATAATTATTTCGTGAGATTTGTAAACAATTTCTAAGTTTAGACATAAGAAGTCCAGAAGAATATGAGAATTCAATTATTGCGTTCAAAATAATCACTTGCTTTCTTTGGATTAATAGTAGGCGCCTCTGGTTTCCAATTGGCCGGACATACTGTTCATCAAAATATAGTTAACAACAATTCAATACAATATCATTGCATACCTTCTCCGTGTTTCTCATAAAATTGAAACGCGTTTATGAGTCTGTGTTTAGCAAAAGGATAATAACGTTTACAAGTTATCCATTAAAACAAATCAATACAGACCTCAGGGTTTCATCAACAGAGCGTCCGACGGGTAAGTCATTAATAGTGATCTGTCGGACAATGCCTTTGGGATCAATTATGAATAGTCCGCGCAAAGCAATACCAGACTCTTCGAGCAAAACGCCATAATCTTTGGATATTTGCTTATTTAAATCAGAGAGAACTGGGATTTTGATGTCTCCAATGCCTCCTTTCTATTTGATATAGACATCAATAATCAATTACAACACTATTAATGTGAACGCTATGACAGTTTTGGTCACCTTTCGGGGGGTATTAACCCACGCCAAGTGAGAGAAGTGTGAGTCCACTGAAACCGCCAATACTTCGGCCTTCAATTCATAATTGAATTCAAATGATATTTCTTTAAATCATTGAATTATATGTAGAAAAAGTGAGACAAACCCCTAAACTCTTGAATTCTTGGATGCGATCACTAAATGCTATGATTTCTGTCGGACAGACAAAAGTGAAATCCAACTAAATATAGGAAATCATTTGTAAACAAATTAATGTCAAAAAATAACTTTTTATAATAAGCATGACTTACGGGATAGAAAAATAAGACCAAATATTTGCCGCTATAGTCAGACAATTGGATTTGTTTGAAGTCATTGGACACGACAGCCGTGGCCTTAAAGTCGGGCGCGGGTCGGCTCACAAACGCCGCCGCCATCGATGCTCTCGAGGAATGCAGCGATCGATAGCCCAATCCATTCAAGCCTTTGCCGGCAAATACTCTCAACGACTGAATTGAATGAATAAATATTAATAAACGTATAATTAATGCTTAAATAATGAATGGATTACTTGTCTGACAATTGAATTCATATTGAATTATAAGCCGTAATCAAAATGACAGCAAAAGTGTTGTATTGACTGTTATATTGAGATCACGTGTCAAACACATGACACATGACTGCAAACAAAGCGTTGAATCATTGAATCACTCGTTGTTTGCATTCAATGTTTATTTGGCTTTGAATTCAATTTCAACCCAATTATGAATAAAAGCAATAATTTTCCCGGAAATACAAGTCTTCTGGAAGAGCTCGACAGTAAGATATCACCATTTGATGACCATTTGAATGACATTTTTGTTGAAACACTTTCGCAGAAAAGCTAATGGTTTTGCTGAGAGACGGGCGGACACTGATTGGTGTCTTGAGAAGTATCGATCAATTCGGTAAACCATTCCTCCTGTTCTACCATTTGATCCATTCTTAAGCGCATTATCCGCTGTATTGTAGCGAATCTAGTCCTCCATCAGACCATTGAGAGGATATATGTGGACAACAAATACGGAGACATTCCTCGAGGAATATTCCTAATCCGTGGCGAAAATGTTGTTCTTTGCGGAGAAATCGTAAGTATTTTTTGATGACTTTGTTGTGAATGAATGATTGAACTGACGTTTGAGTGTTTGAATGGATTGTTATGTTGAGGACACCGACAAACACGAGACAATCGATCTGAAGAGAGTTCCCGTCGAAGAGATCCTTGAGTTACAGCAAATCGAAATCGAAGCCAAACAACACAAAGAGAAGATCCGATTGAAAGCACTTCAGGAAAGGGGTCTCTCCTCTCATATCGAGACCAATACTGAAGAATATTAACATTATATCCAAAATTGCTGTAAATCTCTTATATTTCATCACTTCTAATGATTTCCAATAATTGTTTCAAATTATGTTTCATTTGACATATTTGTGTATTTTTGCAAACATTTCGCATCCGATTAGTTATTGATTCAAATTAAGGTATTGTTTACTAATTTGCTATTTAATAAAACACTGTATATAAAGTGATTTATAAAAATGATGTTATATTTTCAAAGATGCTTCTTTTGTATAGACTTCACACAGAATGTCAGTCTACAGTGGGACTCAGCATAAATGTAACGAATTGTACTGTAAATTATATGAAAATTATAAGACTTATGACAGTAAAAACACGTTCAAACTGTAGGTTATATATTCAACTTTAAGTGATGTGAGTTTTGTTTATCAAAACAATACTGAAATCATATTATCTCCATCGGGAGTAAATGNGTTATATATTCAACTTTAAGTGATGTGAGTTTTGTTTATCAAAACAATACTGAAATCATATTATCTCCATCGGGAGTAAATGACCACATCTGATACCTTTACAGCCCATGGATATGTGTATGGAGTATAGCATGTGATTTGTGTAATGAGTCAAGCAGTATATGATACACTATTTTTAAATTTAAATTGTAAACACAATTAGCTATAATTTTGACTATTGGCCGATGTTTTATTTAAATTATACATCTGGTTCATGTACTGGATCTAGCAATATCGAGATAATGGCCAAATTAAGTGGTGATTCATTTTTAATAAAACATTATACATATCCATGGGCTGTAAAGGTATCAGATGTGGTCATTTACTCCCGATGGAGATAATATGATTTCAGTATTGTTTTGATAAACAAAACTCACATCACTTAAAGTTGAATATATAACCTACAGTTTGAACGCGTTTTTACTGTCATAAGTCTTATAATTTTCATATAATTTACAGTACAATTCGTTACATTTATGCTGAGTCCCACTGTATATTGTTATGTAATATACAAAAAGTCTAATATTATAAGTTTTAAAACATTTCAAACACTAAATGATTAGATGCTGTGTTTTAGGAAACCTATGGAGAGGGGTCTCGACGTTGAGATGAATTATGAGAAATTGGAAACACAAAAAATGCCATTAGAAGAGCTTTTATTGCCTAAACTAATCGAAACGGGCACTAAGGCTAAGGCCTGGTTAGTAGACATGCAAAGGTTGGTCTGACCAACACATACATAGCCTAGAGATAGGGAACAACTTCTTTGCATTTTTTTAAAATTTAGGCGCCTTTTAATCGTAAGAAACATAACACAAATTCTTCGAATTAATAATCATTTGTGCATTTTTTAGGCAATTTTTTCCAATAGTTTCTGAGCCAAAGAATTGCTTTCTATTGAAGCATTTTTTGTGAGAGAAATAATTTGGTGATACATATAAAGTACAGGCACTCATCTACTCGTTCTCTCTCTCCTCCCTTATTAATATGCAAATACATCGCTCTCTGAACGACACTTATTACATAATAAAGCGTTTTGTCTCTGAAAAATTGTCGACTCCACTGACTATACATATAACTCAGCCTTTTTTGTATTTATTTATAATCGGCTTTTTATCATCTCTTCTCAATTCTGTCATTTTGTCGGCATTTTCTATGTTTTTCGATCCTTAAAATCGGGATTTTTGCCAACACTTATAT